CTCTCTCTCTCTCTCTCTCTCTCTCTCTCTCTCTCTCTCTCTCTCTCTTAAATCCTTCTCATTTTAATTGTTTGGATAGGCATTGCTATACATTTCCCCACTCCTCTTCCAGCCTCCTGCCTTTTTAATAATCCATCTTATCTTGTGCTACATTCGAGATAGTGAAATCAGCAGGTTTCCTCCCTCCCTCACATTTTCTCCACAACTATCTCATAGTTACCTAGTGAATATTTCCTCCATTTCTTAATGAAAAGCAGAAAAGGAAAGCATAGGAATAGCATGTGGTTTGTGGGCTCTCATGTGAGGCTTTGATAAACTTACATAGTGCTTAATATGATTGCATTTATTACTGAATGTTTTTCCATTTATATCTTAGACCTTTTGAAAATCTGCTTAAAGGAGCCATTGCCACTCTGAATACCATGGAACTGGAGGGTGCTTTCCTGCCTCCTCTGAGCCAATGTTTCCCCAGTTCACAGAGGTAAGTTTCTATGGAAGCTACATCTTTATACTGTCCTAAAACATGTTGCACTACACTGTTAATCTGGTTCCATTAACCTTGGATCTGTACCTTACCTGTCTTGAGTGCTATGACAACATAAGTGGTTTCCTTGTAGAACAATTTACTCAACTTGGTTCTGAATTCATAGATACCTTGAGGACCTTAAGGTAACCCAACATGATATACTGCCTGCCTTCAGTGTAACAATCTGTTCTCCCTATTGCCTGGGCATGTGTCTATGTTCCTGTTGGCAGTAACTAGAAGAAGGTTGCTTTTGAACACTAAGAAAAGAAACTCTGCTGTCTTATAAAGGGGACACCGAGAATTTTGCTTTAGAAGCTTCTTAGTGTGCAAGGAAATTTTTATACAGCCTTTTTAAATCAGAGGGAAATAGCTGACATGGAGAATAAAGAGCTTATAGAAACAATGTCTTCTGGTGCCAGAAGGCAATTATGCAGTTTCAAAGGTGGCTCCTGAGCTGGAGAGAAGGCTCAGCAACTTAGATTACTTGCTACTCTTGTAGAGGATCTGTGTTAAGTTCCCAGTACCCACATGGAGGCTCACAATCATCATAACTCCAGTTCTAGGAGATAATATAGAACAATTATTGAAGAATTTCCATTTCATGTGCTGATATGGGAAATTTTACAGAATTATTTCTTCCTGCCCCCTTTCTCTTTCTTAGAGCTCCATAACTTAATTGTCAGCTTTCTCAGTTATTTCTAGTGTCATCAGAGTTCTTCACTATTTTTTGTAGTTTTCTCTCTCTAATCATATTTTTGAATCAACCATCTGCCAGAACTTACACATTTCTTCTGCTGGACCACACTATATGTTGATGCTTTCATTTTTCATTTCATTCATATAACCTTTAACTCTAGAATTTCTATTTCATTATTTTTGCAATTTAATACCATTGTCGAATTTATAATTTTGATCTTGTTATTGACTTATTTTGTTGAGTATCTTGTGTGTTTTTCAGACAAATTATGGGTTCTCAATCGTTTGGATTTCATTACAGGAATATTTTTCATGTTCTTCTGGTGTTGTGATGTTTCTGTCGGAGTCCACAGATGTGAGTCCTGTTCCACCTTGTCTGAAGGTCAGAGAGTTTGAGCTTATTTTTCCTCTTTCAAAGTTGTTGAAAACAAGTGTGGCTACAAAATAGAAACCCTGACCTAGGGTGTAGTTACTTCCTGTTTTGGACATTAAGATGACCCATAGAAGTGGATCCACTCCACCCTGACCAAAAGTCAGAGAATTCAATCCTATTCCTGCTCCTTCATTTTAAAACAGGAGGTTTGGAATAGGGTGTGGCTGCCTCCAGGATACCTGGTCTAGGATATATTTGCTGCATATCCTACCCAAAATATCAGAATGTTTAACTCAGGAAATAGTGGTTTGATATCTTAAGTATTGAAGCAAGTAACTGTTCTGAATGTCCTTTGTGTCATCTTAAAGCAGTTTTTTGCCTTCTTCCCCCTTTTTTGTATTGGGGTATATAAGCATATGAAAAATAAACGCAGGCACATTCAGTATTCAGTATACACTGACTTGCCTCTCCAATACTATCCTATGTCTCTGTATTTCTTTGCATCTTTATCTATTCTACCAAACATTTCTAATCCATATGCCCCTACCCTGGAATGTATGAACCCATTGTGGCTGGAACACAACAGATGTCACCCCAACATGTGGCTTACAACATGTTTCCTAGTCTTTCATATTCCTTTAGTTTGAGTCTTCCCTTGCTGCCTCGATTAGAAGAAACAGTTACCTCCTCTAGTCTTTGTTCACTGTTTTCAGTGGAGAAATATCTTCATCATCCAACTAGGCTTTGGAATATGTAGATGAATACTTATCTCCTCAAAATGTAGAATTCTTAAGGTTTTATGCCTTTCCAATGGGGATGCCTAAATTTCACTATTTAAGACTTTTGAACTGAGAATCACAGACTGCAACTGCACAGAGTGGACCAAGAGGCGAGTGATTAGCCAGCAAAACCCCTGGGCCCCTCCCCCATCTTCCTCAGCTTCACTAGCTAGCCAGTAGGCAAGCTTCCTGCAGGTAGGCTGCTCCAACACCCTCACCTGTCAATTGGACCCTGCAAGCTACAAGGTCTACTCTGCCCACAAACCCACCCAACACCTGTGACCTCAGAGGAGCACTTAAGCACAGGCTGCAACTGCACACAGTAGACCAAGAGGTAAATGATCAGCCAGTCAACAAAATTCCAACACAATTATTCACAAACCCCAAAAGAACAATACTCAACTTCAGATGGAAAAATAATAAACCCAGGATAGCCAAAACAATCCTGTATAATAAAGAAAATTCCAGAGGAATCACCATCTCTAACATCAAGCTCTATATAGAGCTACAGTTATGAAAAGAACTTGGTATTAGCATAGAAACAGACACATTGACCTACAGAATCAAATTGAAGAACCAGGGGGGCTGGAGAGGTGGCTCAGCGGTTAAGAACATTGCCTGCTCTTCCAAAGGTCCTGAGTTCAATTCCCAGCAACCACATGGTGGCTCACAACCATCTGAAATGAGATCTGATACCCTCTTCTGGCCTGCAGGCAGACACACAGACAAGAATATTGTATACATAATAAATAAATAAATAAATATTTAAAAAAAACAAAAAAAGAAAAACAAATTGAAGACCCAGGTATTAATCCACACACCTATGAACACCTTATTTTTGATGAAGAAGCTAAAATTATACAATGGAAAAAAGAAATGGTGCTTCAACAAATCATACTGGCATAACTGAATGTCAACATGTAGAGGAATGAAAATAGATTCATACCTATACCCATGCACAAAACTCAAGTTCAAATAGATTAAAGACCTCAATATAAATTCAACCACACTGAACCTGATAGAAGAGAAAGTGGGAAGTAGCCTTCAATACATGAGCACAAGAGACCACTTTCTAAATATAACACCAGTAGCACAGACACTGAGAGAAACAATAAGTAAAAGGGACCTCCTGAAACTGAGAAGCTTCTGTAAAACAAAGGACACAGTCAATAAGACAAAAAGGCAGCCTACTGAGTGGGGCTCCACTGATAGTTACAGTCTATAGTTGATCAGTTGTGAATTTCTATGTTAAACACTGTCCATCACCCTGAAAAAAACTTCTCTGATAGAATCTGAGAGCTGCACTAACTTATAGATATAGAGATGTGAGTGCAGAGGGTCATTCAATACTATATTTACTTAGTAGAGTAACATAGTAGATTCACCCCAGGGGCCAATGTGCTTCCAAACCATGGATTCTTTGCCAGATTTACAGAAATAATCATACATTTTTTTTCCTTATGGAGCAGACATTAGAGATAATCAGAAAGTGTTTGGCTACCACTGTAACATCCATAGTATATTGCACACATGAACCATTTTGCCATGATAGTCACAACAGTCATTCATAGGGTTCAGAACTGGGTAAGGCTTCTGATGACATTTCTCTAACAGCTCTTTCTCTCTCTGTGGTGTGTGTGAATAATAAAAGACTATCTACTTGAGAGTGAGAGGTGTAGTAAAAGAAAATAATACTCAAAAGACATTTAAAAAGAATAGACAGAAAACAAAAACATATCATGCTGGTTAGATTTGTCAACCCCAACTAAAGCCAAACTAAAGGTACCTGGGCAGAAGGAACCTTGAGAGAGGAACTGATTCCATAATGTTGGCCTGTGAGCATGTCTGTGAGGCCATTTTCTCATTCATCCCAACATATTCTTGCCTTGAGTTCCTGCCTCAGCTTCCCTCAGTGATAGACTGTGATCAGAATGTGTAAACCAAATAAATTCTTTCCTTTCCAAGTCGCTTTCTGTTGCAATCTTTTGGTTGATTTTGGGCATGATTTTTTACCACAGCAACAAAATGCAGACAAGGAATTGTATCGTGGGCTAGAATTTAATGCAAAAAAATCCAGTCAGATATCCTTTTTATACATATATGCGAACAGACTTCAACTATTTAACTAGTGACAGCTGATATTAATTTTGTACTTCTAGCTTCCGTGTTTGGAAAATGAAGTCAAACTGCAAGTCTGTCATGTCTGAAATACACTAATCAATTTTGCCAGCAGGTCTTTCAAATAATATTCCTAGAATCTACTGTGATCAACAATTTTGCTGCTTTGAGGAAATAATTCACTTTCAAGGATTCTTGAATTCTAGTGCTGAGAAATGCTTATCTCCAAAGCGGACAGTGTCTGTGTTTATTGGGGTCTTGCATCCACATGATTGCACAGGGCTTTGAGGGAAGAAAAATCATTTCATGTAATCTGGATGGGTCACTGAGTGAACAAGGAATTTCACTTCAGTCTGAGCTGGAAGAGAGTTGTCAGGCTGTTTCAGTCAGCTTCATGCCTCTTCAAGCCATCTGCACTTGAACATTGCAGTTGTTTACTGACAAGAGGCGATACTGTCGTGGGGAAGCAATAACTTCAATAAAAGCTAATTGCAAACTGAAAGTCTATACTGCATTTCTTTGAGATATAAGTAAGGAAACCTAATCTGTGGTAGGTACCATTATATCTAGAGACATATTTCTCCAAATTCTAAGACATAACACCATGTGGATATTACTCTCCTTTGTCTAAATGAAGATGAAACAATCCAACTACTCACAGTACCATGCAATATTTCAAGGATGGGGTTTGATCATGTGAATATATTTTCATAAAAATAGTTGAATTTCCTGTAGGACAGTCTTTGAGCTAGCAATTTTCCTGCTTATTTAACCTATAATTTTGTATCTTTAAGTGATTAATGTACTATTTAAGGCATATGAACTTTGAGCAATGTAACTTCTGCATTAAATAGTTTTCCTTCATTACCATGAAATAAATGCCTGAGATAAGTAAATTATAAGGAAAAAGTGTAACAGGAGGAGTGGGCGGCTTGTCATCCCATCTGCCCAGCTATCTTACACCTGAAATAATCACACAGAAACTGTATTCATTTAAACATTGCCTGGCCCATTAGCTCTAACTTATTGGCTAATTCTTACATCTTAATTTAACCCATTTCTGTTAATCTGTGTATTGTCACATAACTGTGGCTTACCAACAAGATTCTAACCAGCATTCGTCATAGGCAGGAGATCCATGGCATTCTGCCACTCTGCCCTTTCTCCCAGACTTCAGTTCTGTCTACTCAGACTATCTAAGTTCTGCCCTATCAAAAGGCCAAGGCAGTTTCTTTATTCAACCAATAGAAGCAACACATAAACAGAAGGACCTCCTACACCAAGAAAGAGCTTATTTTGACTCATATTTTAGAAGTCCAGTTCATGATCAACTAGGCCCATTACTCTGAGTCTGGGTGAGGCAGCATGTTATATCTAGGACAAAGCTGCTCAACTTGAAGCCAAGAGGCAAAAGAGAGGAAGAAACTCTGGTGACACAATTCCCTCTGAGGACACATTTCCAGTGACTTAGTGAACTTCCACTAGCCTCTACCTCCAAAGAGTCTCAGCATGTCCCATTACTACAAGACTGGGTACTAACACACAGGCCTTCCTTTGAGGGAAATCCCAGATCTGAACTAAAATAATTTCTCACGTCAAAGTGAAAACATTATTCATAGTAGTTGTTTTGTATTATTATACACATCAAGCATACTGTAGGAACCTAATTTTTATGTTTTAAATGAAATCAGTGCAGCTGATAGGTAGAAGTTGTCCCACGTTTGAGTTGTTCCTGTTGAGTTCTCATGACTGCCACCTTCTTCTAGCAGTTCTTGTTTTGTTTGTCAGTGGTGTGAAACTGCCCAAATGCAGGCTTCATTAGAACAGCTCCTAGGTAACTGGAAAAGATGAGAAGAAAGGTCAATTATTGGACCTTTCTTTGTCCTTGAGTTCATTGCATCCTGTTTCCAATGGGGCCATTACAAAGAGTTGAGCAAGCAAGACCAACAAGATGGTTCTGTAGATAGCTATGGAGATAGTCAACACATTTTTCAGATATTAAATGAACAAGGAAAGACTCCCAAATTCTAACTGCCTCTGCTTTCATTTCTGCAAAGTTCTGTTATTGATTCAATATAGGCAATAGATGGTATAGATGAAGTACAAATTCTT